CTTTATATGCACAGACCCCCAGCATTGGGTCTCCATACAAAATAATACAAACCCCTCCCAGGCGTCTCTGTGTCTGGGATATAATTGAGTCAAAGACCGGTAAATCAATTATCTCTCAGTTACAGGGAACCATACAAAAAATACATAAAATACCCCAAAACTACATTCAAACTACACAGGAACTCCACATATATTATATCCCCGAATAGCATGGATCTGAGTGCCCAAGTTGTCCAAATAGCGCTCCGATCTATTCGGTGTAAGGAATCACCATTCGGGTAAAGTACTGACTGGCCGGACACGAGGTGGTAGCCCAAAATAGTTCCAGTGAGAAAGAGGCAGTGGCCAGTCTACTTTCGGGAGTTTCGGTACCAATACAAATGAATTCTCCCCCTGGCACTTAGGGAGTGAATGCTCCCCTCAGACGAATGAGTGTTCTCCTGGCTTATCTGTGAGCAGAGCAGGCAGCGGTACATTTTTTCTGGGGTTCGTGACCTATGGTATCTGAAATGAGTTCTACTTGCTCGATGACCAGGTACCACTGCTTCTGTTTGGGAGACAAAATGGCTGCCATTCATAAAGCACGTGTGTTTAGTCATACGAATGGCGGCCATCCAGAGAGAGCACTTAAGTTATTGGGTTCTTTTGAAGTTAATGAGCCAGGGGGTGGTTGGTGTTCGGTAATATAAAAAGGGGGAACAAGTTGACGTTCTGGAAAATCAAAGGGAGATACGGGCAACTGCCAAACATGGGAATACATAGGAAGGACTAGCCAAGGCAATAGGGGCAACAGCCTTCAATGAAATTTCCAACCCCTGTCATAGTAGAAATTATTAACTCTTTTACCCGATGTGGTTTGAACAGTCAACCTAGCATACACACAGAGTAACAAGCAATTACATTTACGTAGGTTAAAAAAGACTATTGATCCAAAAGAACTGGATAGACAAACTACACCCTGTTTCAAATTATTATGCAAATTCTATTGAAGTGTCACAAAGATTAAATATTTTGTTTTTCAGTTTAACTCATGGATGGCATTGTCTCTCAGGACTCTTTTGATCACTGAAAACAATCTCGGACACCTGTGATAATTAGATTGCCAGGTGAGCCCAATTTAAGGAAAAACTACTAGGGTGTTACACATTATTAAGCAGAGCACCATTTTCATGCAATATAAGGAAGAAAAAGGGTCTCTCTGCTGCCGAAAAGCATGAAATAGTTCAATGTCTTGGACGAGGTATGAAGACATTAGATATTTCACGAAAACTTAAGCGTGATGATCGCACTATTAAGGGATTTGTGGCTGATTCAGAGCACAGACGGGTCCATGCAGAAAAAGGCACATTGAGGAAGATTTCTGCCAGATCCATGCATCGGATCAAGAGAGCAGCTGCTAAAATACCATTTGTAACGGAACTCCCCGTACTCCGACCGAGTACCTTTCATTGATGGACGCTTCCTAGCTTGCGCCGAGGACCACAAGCACCGCACCGGACACCACAACCACCGCAGACTCCACAACCGCCGTAGCTTAACTGGAGTCTCGCCGTCTTCCTTCCACCCTAAATCAGCTTCTGTCCTCCAGGACCGTGTAGGAAAGAACTCTCCTCCAGGAGAGCGTATCAGGAATAAGCTCTTAAAAGAGCTAAGTGATTAAAGCTCAAGGGAGTATGCAGAGCATAGCAATCCCCAGTGTGATATAGCAGTTCTCACCAATCACGAGACAAGACTACGTGTTGAGGGTCAAGAAGATCTGACAGTACTGGCACATACAGCCTCTTTTATTCACATTCTACAAACATAGTACTGCCCACAGGGTTTTGAAGAACAACCAATCAACACATTACAACACAGCTAACACTCCCATTCATTACATCAGAAATCCTCCTCTCTGACTGTGATACAATTATCTCAACACAATAGACTAACTTAATTATCACAGGCAGGAAAATACAGTATTATAAAACATATCACAGGGACCCCAAAACATGCAATAACCCCATAAAAATTCACAAAATACACCCAGATCTGTTTAGTAGTTTGGAAGATACGGTTTAATGCAGATTCCGCAGAACATATACAGGCTATATGAAAAATAATTACTGTTAAATGTGTCCCCTGTTCTGTAGTTTAAAACTACCGATAGATGTCTTTGTGCACCAAATACCGGCGAGATGGCACCATGTAGTAAAGTCAAAACAGTGTCTGTGAGTTAAAATGGCCGCCATCCATTGTTCTCACCATGTGCTTCATCCATTGTTCTCACCATGTGCCTCTAATACATGAAATGGTGGTCACCCAGTAGCTCCACAGTTTGTCTGGTAGTCTATCCAGCCGAACCAACAGATGAAACATGGGGAACAGTGCAACAAACGAAGGGAATCATAAAACATATGGACAATAGTCATATTTGTGCACAATCTCCAGTTTTGTCACAGGGCACAAATAATGTTTTCAAATGCCATATATCCCAGGGCCATAGTCAGAAGGTAGGAGGCGGGCAAGCAGCCCCCTCCAAGAACACGTGGCGAGGTCTGTTCCGCCACACCATTACATAGCAGCAAACAGATATTTGAAGCTGCTGGTGCCTCTGGAGTCCCACGGACATCAAGGTGTAGAGTCCTCCAGAATCTTGCAACTGTGTATAAACCTTCTATTTGGTCAACACTGACCAATGCTCACAAGCAGAAATGGTTGCATTGGGCAGAAAAATACATGAAGACTAATTTTCAAACAGTCCTGTTCACTGATGAGTGCTGTACAACCCTGGATGGTCCAGATGGAAGGAATAGTGGATGGTTGGTGGACGGCCACCCTGTTCCAAGAAGGCTGCGACGTCAGCAAGCATGTTTTGGGCCGGAATCATGGTCGGCCCCTTTGGGGTCCCCAAAGGTGTAAAGATGACCTCTGCAAAGTATGTGGAGTTTCTGACTGACCACTTTCTTCCCTGGTACAGAAGGAAGAACTATGCTTTCCGTAATAAAATCATCTTCATGCATGACAATGCACCATCTCATGCTGCAAAGAATACCTCTACATAAATGGCTGCCATGGGGATAAAAGGAGAGAAAGTCATGGTGTGGCCTCCATCCTCCCCTGACCTCAATCCTATTGAGAACCTTTGGAGCATCCTCAAGCAAAAGATCTATGAGGGTGGGGGGCAGTTTACATCCAAACAGCAGCTCTGGGAGGCTATTCTGACATCTTGCAAACAAATTCAAGCAGAAACTGTCCAAAAACTCACAAGTTCAACGGATGCAAGACTTGTGAAGCTGCTATCAAATAAGGGGTCCTATGTTAAAATGTAACATGACTTGTTAAAATTTTTAAAAAGTTAAAATGTTGTTATAAGTTTGAATGAAATAGCTTTTGATTTCAGTAAATATGCTGCATTGTAAGTTTTTATGTTTAAAAAAATACTGTTATCATTAGGAGGTTTGTTCAATAACATTTGAATTGTACTCTTAATAGTTGATAACATAAAGAATTATGCTGACTGTTATTTACATCAATTATTTAGGTAAATGAGAAAAATATCATTTGCATAATAATTTGGAACAGGGTATACAGTGGAACCTCGGTTCTGGAACGCTTCTGTACTCAAACAATTCGGTATTCAATCAAAATATTTGAGTAAAAAATGTCTTGGCATGTGAACAAAACTCGATATTAGAACAAAATCACACAGCATTAACCTTGAAGGTACCTCATTGGAATGATGCATCAACCTCCTAGAACTAGACAAAGCAAACAGAGCTCCATTCTGTTGGCAAACAGCTCCATTCTGTCAGCAAACAGAGCTGACAGGTGAATTGGTTACATTTTAATTTAATTTACATTGTGTTTATTGGTTTTCTGTATGATTTTATGCATTTAAGGTATTATTAAATTGTAAAATGTGTTTTAAAATGCTGTACTTTTGGGGATTTGGAACGGATGAATCTAATTTACATGAATTCTTATGGAATCATGGGGCTTCTGGGGGTGTCCCTAGCCTGCCCCTATTATAATATGTATTATTACTATGATCCCCATTTGTCTGGTCAGGTCAATATTAGTAAATATTGACTCTGATCAGTGTGGATCTCCCTCCCTCTCTTCACTTGTGTTTTAGTGAGAGAGAGAGATCTGTGTGTAGGTAGAGAGATTTAGGTAGTTTTAGCTAGGGATTTGTAAAATTGTGAGACCCAAAGGCTCTTTTCAGAGCCATTAACCCCTACCTTGCCAGTGATCACTATAAATCACTGGCTCTTGCACAGCAGCACTTTTGTGCTGTCTATGCATTTTTTTAAGGGGTCCATTTTTTTAGTAATTTTTTTGGGGGGGAGACCAAAGGTTTTTTTTCAGAGCTATTAACCCCTATCCTGCCAGTGATCACTGTATAGATCACTGGCTCTTGCACAGCAGCACTTATTTTGCTGTCTGTGCATTTTTTAGGGGTTACTTTTTTTAGTGATTTTTTTTGTGACAGATCACTAAATAAAGTGATTGTGATGTCACAGAGCTCACAGAGGTTGTATAGCACTGAGGCGTATGCCATCCTTGCGTTAGAGTCTGACGCTTCTATGTCTGACTCTGACCCTGATTTTGACCCTTCCAGGTGCTCAGATACATCACTAGATACATTGTCTGCTGCTAGTGATGTATCTATAAAATGTATCTAGAAATGATCTTGAAGACCGCATTAAAAAATGTTTCAGTGTTTGCAGATGACACCAAACTTTGTAAAACAATACAATGTGAGCAAGATATTACTTTGCTGCAGAGGGATTTAGATAGACTGGGGGACTGGGCACTCAAATGGCAGATTAAATTTAATGTTGAAAAATGCAAAGTTATGCACTTCGGCGTAAAGAATACACAAGCAACGTATACCCTTAATGGAAGCGAATTAGGGATAACAACACATGAAAAGGACTTTGGAATTGTTATAGACAACAAACTATGCAACAATGTGCAATGTCAATCAGCAGTGGCCAAGGCCAGTAAGGTATTGCCATGCATGAAAAAGGGCATTCATTCTCGGGACAAGAATATAATTTTGCCTCTTTATAAATCACTGGTAAGACCCCATATTGAATATGCTGTGCAATTTTGGCCACCTGTTCTAAAGAAGGATATTATGGCACTAGAAAAAGTGCAGAGGCGGGCTACAAAATTAATAAAAGGAATGGACCATATCGGCTATGAAGAAAGGTTAACAAATTTAAACCTATTTAGTTTAGAAAAATGTCGCCTGAGAGGGGATATGATAACATTATACAAATATATTCAGGGCCAATACAAACCATTGTGTGGAAATCTATTCACAAACCGGACTTTACATAGGACACGAGGCCATGCTTTTAGACTGGAAGAAAGAAGATTTCGTCTAAGGTAAAGGAAAGGTTTTTTTTACTGTAAGAACAATCAGGATGTGGAATTCTCTGCCTGAAGAAGTGGTTTTATCAGAGTCCATACAGATGTTCAAACGGCTACTAGATGCATACTTGCAAGAACAGAATATTCAAGGATATAATCTTTCAATGAAGGGTAATAACTGCTTGATCCAAGGATAAATCTGACTGCCATTCTGGGGTCAAGAAGGATTTTTTTTCCTAGCTTGTTGCAAAATTGTGCTTCAAACTGGGTTTTTTTGCCTTCTTTTGGATAAACAGCAAAAAACAAATGTGAGGTAGGCTGAACTTGATGGACGCAAGTCTCTTTTCAGCTATGTAACTATGTACCTATATCTAGTGATGTATGTGTGATGTATGTGTGGCTGCTAGGCCCCTTGCCAGAAGGAGACGTTCTGCTCCAGCTGGCAGTGCTGCTGAGTGGGTAACGCCTCATCGCCAGAGGCCAGATATCCCACCCTTCACCACAAATCTTGGCATCAATGTGGTTGTCGCAGGATTTAGCCCCAACAGTTTATGGAGGTGTTTCTGGGCGATGATATATTGGGGAACATTGTCGTCCAAACTAATTTATATGCCCATCAGTTCCGTGCTGCAAAGCCTGCGTCTTTTTTGGCAAAGCAGCAATGGGCCCCCATCGATGTGCCAAAATGTAAAAAATCTTCTGGGCATTAACTATGCTGATGGGCATCATAAAGAAGCCCTCCATCTGCTCCTACTGGAGCAGTAGCCCCATCTGCTCTACCCCTATTTACTCCCAGTGTATGTTGAGGAAGAGGTATGAAATGATTCTACATTTCATGCACTTCAGCGACAACAGCCTGTGCCGCCCTATGGAGCATCCCCAGTTTGAAAGGCTGTATAAAATCCGCCCCCTGATTACCCAATTCACTACCAGGTTTGCAGAGGCTTATACATCTGGAAGGAATATAATGAATCCCTGATGAAGTATAAGGGAAGCAGGGCCGGCCCGTACATTGGCCCCAGTGGAGCCACGGTTCCAGGCGGCACTGAGACCTGTACCTTTAAAAAATGTGTAGTGCAGGGCCCAGGCCGCCTATTTGCAAATATATATAACGAGTATCGGTATATATATATGTGCAGTTCCAAGCTCCTGCTGGAGGACAATGAAGAGGGGACCCTGAGAGTAGTATACTTACACCTCCAGCATCAGCCAGTTCTCTCGCAAGCCGTGAGTGCGTTACCACGGGTTGCCATGGCTCTCGCAGCTCGCGACAGAAGAGTATTGGCTGCTGCTGGAGGTGTAAGATTACTTCTCTCAGGACCCCCTCTTCACTGTCCTCCAGCTCCACTGGACCACCAGGAAATCCTTGGGTGCCTAGGGTGGCTGAAATCCTTGCACCGGTGTGTGTTCAGCAGTCTGTGTGTGTGTATTCAACAGTCTGGGTGTGTATTCAGCAGTCGGTGTGTGTATTTAGCAGTCTGTGTGTGTGTGTGTGTGTGTGTGTGTGTATGTAGCAGTGTGTGTGTATTAAGCAGTCTGTGTACTCAGCAGTTAGTGTGTGTATGTTCAGCATTCTTTCTATGTGTGCATTCAGCAGTGTGTGTGTGTGTCTGTGTGTATTCAGCAGTCTGTGTACTCAGCAGTCTGTGTGTGCATGTATTCAGCAGTCTGTGTGTATGTATTTAGAAGTCTAGGGGTGGGGAGCAGAAACACAGAAGGAATAGAGAAGAAGACAATGAAAAAGATAGTGGCTGGGGAAGGGGACAATGACACACTGAGGGGCTGGGAAGTGGATATGAACACACAGAGGGGCTGAAGTAGAGGACAATGACACAGAGGAGCTAGGGATGGGGGCAGGGACACAAGAGGGGCTGGGTAAGAAGTCAATGACACACACTGAGGGGCTGGAAAAGGGGATAATGACACACACTGAGGGGCTGGGAAGGGGACAGGGAGACACAGAGGGGCTGGAGAAGGGCACAATGACACACAGATGCTGGTGATGGGGACAGGGACACACAGAGGGGCTGAGGAAGGGGACAATGACACACAGAGAAGAGCTGAAGAAGGGGACAGTGACACAGAGAGACTAGAAATTGCAACATTCAAATCAGACAATGGCAACTTGACTCTTTTATTAAGATTTTGCATCAGGTTTCTCTAATCTTTTGCATGCCTGCTCTTTATGTGATAATGACTATGCTCTTCCCCTTCATGATACTGTCAAAAAGGGGCAGAGCATTGGTGTCCTGTTGTCCAATTGAACCATTACTGACACACCTAGGGGGTACAAAGAAACTACGCCTTGAGGGCTAATCTTATTGCTCTCAACTCTAGCACATTTATGGGAAGAAGCCTTTCTTGAATTGACCAAATTCCTCTTATAGTGCCTTGGGCTGAGAACGCACCCGATCCCTTGTTTGAGGCATTTGTGGTCAAGGATAACATGAAATGCCCTTCTAAAAGGGGGCGAGGTAGTGTACTTGCCCCCTCCAATATATTGTTTAGCTCTTTTCTGACTCTCTATGGAATGGCCACCATTGACTCCCACTGGCCACCCTGCCTCCATTGGTCTTCTAGAAACAGCTGATTCTGTCTGCACAGCAAGGGGGAAGTATCAGAACCCGGTGCTAAAGATATCAACCTCCCAATAGTCTTTGCTAGTTCTCTGAGAAACCACATGTGCGTCAAGAGAGTCGAAGCTAAATGAGCTAAAATCTTTTCTCATTTGTCTCTGGGAACATCCAAGGTCATTTCCATGGTGTTCAGGATGAAGCCCAGAAATTGGATATTTTGAGTAGGGACCAGCACAGATTTCTGTAGATTTACTATAAATCCCAAATCTTGCAAGAGGGAAATTAGGTAATCGAATAATAGCATCTACATCCGGATTCAACAACAGAATGTCGTCTAAATAGTAAAGGCATAGTAAACCTCTTTGTCTGACATTAGACATAATAGCTTTCATTGTCCTGGAAAAGGTGTAAGGTGCGTTGGATAGGCCAAACACCATTACAGTATAGTGATATCTGTTCCCTCCAGCTGAATCTGAGAAAGTGCATGTGTTTCTTGGCGATGGGAACTGAATGGAAAGCATCTTTGAGGTCTAATTTTATGGCGAAAAATGTTTCCTGCACTAGGCCTGGGAGATCTGTTAAACCTTTCATCCTAAATCTTTTCCTTTTTAGGAAAGCATTAAAAGCCTTGACATTCAGTACCAGTCTCCATAAGCCATCTGATTTTGAATGGGGAACAAGGGACTGGTCCAACCTGAAGTTGAAATATCTGCCAATTCTATTTTTCCATGAGCTAATGCCAGGGAAAGAGAGGAATATTGAACTGAACCTCTCTGCCCAAAGCTTGTCTATGGACTGGAAATCGAATAAGAGGGAGTTGTAAACCTCTTTATAAAATCTGAAGCACCATTTGTCTGAGGTCATAATTGAACAAATTTGAGGGATGTGAGGTAAACCTCTTACTTGACTGCATGGGTCTTCTTTTTCCTGATGAGCTACCTCTGGCATGAGCTCCTCTGCTAGTGCCTGAGGGTCTTGACTATGAGAGTGGGCATGCTGAGATACTTCCCAGGACGATTCTTGCAACTTGGAAAGCTCTTCTTTAATTCAGAGAAAGATTGGCCTTTTGCCTCTTATATAAAAGAGGAGC